GTTCTGCCTTTGCCACCAGTGAACTCAGCACAGGCAGCCGGGCCAGACCTGAGCACTTCCCTGTCACCAACCCCCCCGTGTTCACTCTGGGCCCTAATGGTGGGCACCAGCTGGCTCAGGACTATCTGCCTGCCCCTGAAGGGACTTGTTTTACAAGGAGTCACAGCCACGGCAGCTTTTGCACTGCACCCATCCTGCCTCCCCCTCAGACCTGTATCCATGCTCCCAGTGTGCCTGGCTAGGGAAGCCTGTGCTGGGGGGGGGGGGTGTTGCTGAGCGCCCCGCGTAGGGCCCGCAGCCGACACCAGCGCTGCCGTGGGAATCTGCCACAGGAAGGGATCCTGCGGGACGCGGGCTCAGAGCCCGAACGGTCCCGGGGAACACCGGGAGCCCCTTCCCCCTTCCGGCGCGAGGCCCCGGCTCCCCGCGCCGCTGGCGGGGGCTGCCCCCTCCTCGCACGGGGCTCGGCGGCAGAGCGGGCTCCCCGGGGGATCCTCCCCTGGAAGCACAGAGCGCTGAAACAAGCCCCCTTTGTCTGCAGAGCACACGCGGCGCGGCGGTCCGGCCGGGGAGCGCGGGGGGCGGCACCCCCCCCCCCCCCCGGGCCAGCTCTCAGCGGCTGTGGGCGCATCCCCGTCCCATTCCCTCCTCCAGCAGCCAGGACACCCAACGGGACCCACTGCCCCGAGACGCGGCAGCCGGTCGGGGGGCGGCGGCGGCCCTCCCCCGCCGGGCCCCCGCAGGGCCCCAGCTCCCGCCCACCGGCAGTGCCACCCCGGGCGCAGGGCAGGGACCGGAGCCACTTTTCCAGCTTCCCCAGCCAGACCACGCTGCTCGCGTCCCGGCGCAGGGTGTGGAGAGCCCCAGGGGGCAGCCAGCCCGGCTCGGGGCAGGCGGGCAGGCAGCCCCGGGGCCGCGGAACAGCCCGGCCCCGCCAGCACCCTGGCCCCGGCTGGACGGTGGCACCGGCGGGCGGGCAGCTAAATCACTCGGTTGCAGGGGCTTGGTGGGGTACCGGGTGCTGCCGGGCTCCTAGCGGGTCTGCAGGGAGGGCGATGTCCCGGCGAGGCCACGGCAGTCACTGACCCCCTCCGTGGCCAGGACGTCGCGGCCGTGGGGCCCCACCCTCGCTCTCCGCGCTCCTGACTGCAGAAGGGACCCGGACGGCCGGGCCCTGCGCCGCCCGCTCGGCGCCGCACCCCGATGCCAGCACCCCTCGTCCTGGCACGGCCCTGCCCAAGCGTTTCGCGGGTGCCCAAAAGGGACGGGCACAAGCGGGGGGGCTCGCCCCGCCCCGCCCCGGCTGAACTCTGCGGGACGGGAGCGGGACGGGGGGGGCCGCGGGAGCCGCCGTCAGCCCAACGGATGTGCCGGAGGAATTTCTTCCTGCCGCCGGGCCTGGGCTGTCCCTCCGCCCCCTCGACCCCCGCGGCCCCGCTCCCGCTCTCTCCCACGGCTTGCGGGTGGGACGTGGGTGTGGGTGATCACCACGGCCCGGCCCCGCAGACACGGGACACGCGACACCCCCGGCCGGGGCTCCCCGTGCCCCAGCGCTGCCTCGCACCCGGTATCGTCTCTCCCCTCGCCCCCGCGCCCCGCCACGGGTCAGAGGCCGCTGGCCGGGGAATGCCGCTGAGCCCCCGCGTACCTTGGACACGATGAGGGGCTCGCCGTGCTCCAGCCCGCCGCGCAGCGTGAAGCCCCAGGGCGCGCCCCCCTGCAGCTGCACATGCACGTACTGGGGGGCGCCGGGCCGCCCCTCGGCCCGCTCCATGGCCCCTACTGCCCCATCCCGGCCCGGCACCGCACGGCAGAGGAAATAACACCCCCGCCCGCCCGGGATGAGCGGCGCGGAGCCGAGCTGCGGGGCGGGGCGGAGCCGGCCCGGCACCGGGGCTGCCCCGCTGCCGCCAATGGGGCGCGGGGGGACGGCACGGCTCGGTGAAGCACGGTACAGCACCGCTAGGTACAGCTCTATTTGGCTGGCCTCGGCGCGGCTCAACGCAGCTCAGTTCAGCCCAGCCACGGCACAGCTCAGCACAGCACAGCTCAACTCATGGCATGGCTTCAGCACACACTGGCACAACACAGCACGGTGCTGCTCAGCTTGGCTTGGCACAGAACAGCTCTGTTCGGGCACCTGTACTGAGCTGCTTGGCTCAGCTTGGCACAGCCTGGCCATCAGGTTTTGACTCAGTTCAGCGCAGCCGAGCATGGCACGGTTCAGTGCAGTGCAACGTGGCACGGCACAGCCTGGCACAATTTGGCTCATCTTAGCATGGGATGGCAAAAGGGACAGCATGGGTTGGCTGGCCCAGCATGGATCAGCCTGGCATGGTTCAGTGCAGCTCAGCTCAGATCAGCTGGCACATTCTGTCATGGCTCGGCTCAGCATGGCATAGGCTGGCATAGCTCAGTTCGGTAGAGCATGGCACAACCAGTGTCCTGGCCTGCTTTGGCTCTACTTGGCCTGCTCAGGCTTCACTCAGTGCAGTTCAGCTTGGGTTGACACGGACAAGCAGGGCTGGCACATTTCAGGTCACCACAGCATGGTCTGGCCTGGATTAGCTTGGCCTGGCACGGTTCAGCACAGCATGAGCTGGTCTGGAGCAGCACAATATGGTGCCAGCAGGGACCAGCACCGTTGGGGCCAGCTCAGCACAACTCAGTTGGGCACAGCATGGCTTGCCTTGGCACAGCTCAGCCAAGCATGGTGGTGTGGTGTGGCCAAACGTTTAGGGATGAGGGGTGCCTGCTCGGGTGGTGGTCGGGTGATACAGCACCTGGCTGCTCCCTGCTGGCACTGGCACCCTTGTTGGCACCCAGAGCCCTGCTGCTGCAGGCAAGCTCACGCTGCCAGCTCCTGTCTGCCCCTCCAGGCTCCGGGGGCTGTGTGTGACAGTGTGGCCATGCTGCACCCCCCAGGCTCCGGGGGCTGTGTGTGACAGTGTGGCCATGCTGCACCCCCCAGGCTCCGGGCTGACACCACCACCCCACCCACACCACCCCCCACCCCACACCAACCACACCCACCCACCCCACACCACCACCCCCCAGGCTCCGGGGGCTGTGTGTGACAGTGTGGCCATGCTGCACCCCCCAGGCTCCGGGGGCTGTGTGTGACAGTGTGGCCATGCTGCACCCCCCAGGCTCCGGGGGCTGTGTGTGACAGTGTGGCCATGCTGCACCCCCCAGGCTCCGGGGGCTGTGTGTGACAGTGTGGCCATGCTGCACCCCCCAGGTTCCGGGGGCTGTGTGTGACAGTGTGGCCATGCTGCACCTCTGCCTTTCCACCACCAGGCCCTGGTCCAGGAGGGGAAACTGAGGCAGGGGAAGGAGGCGGCAAGCGGCATCTGGGGCTGTGGGAGTGAATCAGCAGCAGTTCCCCGGGGAGCCCAGGCGTCCCGCTCCTCCCCTTCCCGCCTGGGGCCACGGCTCTTACTCATCTCCTTCCCAGACAGAGCAGCCGGCCCGGAAAGCTCTGTGCTGCCAGCAGCGCCCGTGGCCCGGGCTGCCTGGGGGCTGGCTGGGCGCCCAGGGGGGTGGGCTTGTGGTGCCAGGCTGGCCACCTCCTCTCAGGCTGCCTGGCTCCAGCATGGGAAGGGTCCCTCGAGTTTTTCTTGTCAGCCCTAGTCCACCAGTGCCAGCCTTGAACCCTGACTGCACCCTGGCCAGCCCAGCTGCAGGTAGCCCAGTTCATGTGTCCCGTCCTTGTGCCACAGGGTCCCAGGGCAGGGGGTCAGGGCAGTCCCCAGGCTGTTTGTGGTACTGGAGCCCAGTCAGCAAGGATATATGGCCCGCCTTGCACTGTCTGGACTGACCCTCCTGCACTGCCCATGCCTCCCACTTAGCCTTTCCGCTCCCCCTTGCCATGCCCCTCACTCATGGCCGCTTCCTGCCATGCCTGGATTTTCCCATCCTCAGGCTCCGCTGCCCCCCTGCCCTTTCCCTGATGAGTAACCAGTGCTGCCCAGCCAAGCGTGAGGCTTTGCAGGCACTGTGCCCTGGCTTCTCACGTGGCCTCACACCCCATTAAGCACTTCTGCCCTCTCCCCATCCCAGCACCCCACAGTCATGCCAGCCCTTGCCTGTGCCTGCCTGGTACCAGAAAGGGGGGAAAACACCAACATCCCTTTTCCCACTCCCCCCATGTCCCTTTGCCTGCACCAGTGGTTCCCAAACAATGTGTCCACCCTGCCCGGCTCCCTCCATCCTAGCAGTAGAGCCGCAGTGTCCTAAGGAGCAGGGCACCATGCCCGCCGCTCTGCAGGGGGCACCACGTTGTGACCCCAGAGCCTGCCTCAGGCAAGCACCACCAGGCCACTGCAGCACCAGAGCTGGGGTGGACACGTCTCCCGTATGGGTAATGCTTCAAATACTGTACCAGCAAGAGCTGGGACAGACAAGCCCAGCACAGCTGCGCGGTGATGCCCACAGTGTGGGTACCACTGGCTGCACTCATCGCTGCTGGTAACTCTGCCCACCTATGTGTGCTGTGGGCTTGATGCCCATCTCTCAACTGGGGAAAGTGAGGCACTGGGCAGCCTGGCTGTGCCATGGGGCCTGCCTAGGCACAGGTACCGAGGCTCTGTGCCTGCTCTGGGCAGTGTCTCCCAGCTTGCAGCAACGGGCACAAAGGTGCTGAGCCCGCTGCCAGAGTCGGCATGGGTCAGGGGGCTCTCACCTTAGCAGATCGTCCCACCAGACTCCAGCCCCACTCCCCTGGGGATTTGGATGCTCCTGGCCCTTTAAACCTTGATTGGGACCGTGCCTTTAAAATGGACCCCTGGGGCAGGAGCTCTCACCCTGCAGGAGGAGGCTGGCCAGAAGCAGGTGGGCTGAGCAAACTGGTCTTCCCCACCCCACTCCCTGCCCCAGCACCTTTACCGCCCCAAGGCCAGGCGCTTGCCGGGTTGGTTTTGCCCTGGTCGGGGTTTTAGTCTGGAATTTGCACCCGTTTTTGCATCCTTGTGTTGTCCCCCGTCTCCCCCTCCCCCTTCTGTTTCTGAACAACAGAAGCAGCTGGTAGCACCCTGGGGTCCTTTTTCTGGTGCCAGCAACCAGCTCTGCCTCCCTACATGGGAGAAGCGTAACTGCAGGCTCCCCCTAATCCTGTTGCTGACCAGCCTCACCTTGTCCTGCTCACCCACCTCCCCCTACACCTATCATGGCTTTGCTCCATCACTTCACCAGCCTCCTCCTCCTTCTCGCTGTGCCCCTTTCCCGGGCTGCAAGCTGGTCCCCCCTGTCCCCCAGCGCCCCGCCTGCCGTCCCTGCTCTGCCCCTCCTGCAGGCCCTGCAAGCGCGGGCACCGGGCAGCCGGGGCTGGCAAGCAGGGCTAGCGGGTGGGCAACCCCTGCACTACATGCTGAGCCTGTACCGGCGCGCTGCTGACAGCGAGGGACGACCCCGCCGCAGCTTGGGTACCAACACCATCCGCCTGGTCCGGACCAGTCCCCATGGGGGCCAGCCCTGGGCAGGTAAGGGGCAGGCAGGCACCAAGGGCAGGGTGGGAGCTTAGCAGAGGTGGTGAAGTGGGTTTGAGCCCTGGGGTATCGCTGCCTGCCTCCTTCCCCCTGTTCACAGTGCTCCAGGCAGGGCTGGCACATCCACTGTGGGGTCCCCCTTGGCAGGGGGTCCTAGGGGTGAGATGGGCAAGGCACTGCCAGCGCCGCATGCTTCTCCCCTTCCCCTGCTGGGCAGCGGTGTCGGTGCAAAGGGTGGGACTTGCCCGAGGCGCTCTCTGCCCTTCACCCGGCAGGGGGGCTGTGGCACACAGCTGCTGGCTGCTGAGGTCTCCGTACAGCCCCGCGGCAGCAGCTCCCTGCTGGGTGCAGCCCTTCTGCCTGGGGGGGGGCTGTGCCGGGCCAGTGCCTGCTGTGCCCCACGGGAGCGGGGCCGCTGACTGCTGCTTCCCCCCAGGTCGCTGGTACGTACAGCCCCTCACCTACCGCCTGGGGGACCAGCCTGAGGCCGAGCACCTCCTCCGAGCCATCGTAGTGTACCTGCCGAGCCTGCCGCTGGCCCGTGGTCGCCTCCTCTGTGCCCTGGAGCTCTCAGACACTAGCAACGGACCCGGGGCGCTGCTCAGCCCTGTCGCCCGCCCCCGCCGCGGCTGGGCCGAAGCGGATGTCACCCCGTACCTGGTGCCAGGGAACGGCAGCGCAGGGAGCCTGGCACTGCGGCACGTCTGTGTACGTGCCGGCCGGGCCAGTGGCCACGATGCCCCCGTAGTCCCCAGCCACCCCTTCCTCCTCCTTTACCTCAACGACACCCAGGCTGGACTGGCATCTCTGGCGACAGAGCCCCATCGGCACCGGCGTGACACGGGGATACTGGCCCACGACCTGCCAGGCTACTTGCAGGAGCAGGAAGGGGAGAAGAGTGACTGCTCTCTGCGCCCCTTCCCCGTCAGCTTCGCCCAGCTGGGCTGGGACCACTGGATCATTGCTCCCCATCGCTACAACCCGCGCTACTGCAAGGGTGCCTGTCCCCGCCTGCTCCGCCACGACTACCACGCGCCCAACCATGCTGTGGTGCAAAGCTTTGTCCATCAGCTGGTGGATGCCAATGTGCCTTGGCCTTCCTGCGTCCCCTACCGCTACAGCCCCATCAGCGTTCTCATGATCGAGCGTGATGGCAGCATCCTCTACAAGGAGTATGAGAACATGATAGCAGAGTCCTGCACCTGCCGGTAATGCTGCCCGGGCACATTGCCCCAGGCTCTGCCTGACCCTGCCACACTGGACTCCAGGGATTGTCTTGCTCTGCCTGGGGTGATTTGTCTCCCTTCCCTGCGTGGCAACTCTTCTGCAGGAAGGTTTTACCATGGCAGTTTTATGTGAATTGTAGTGTTTTAAAGGCAGGCACCTGTGATAGGGTGGTTGCCCTGTGGCATCTGTCCTTCCTGCAGCCCCAAGGCTGCTGCCCGCTTCTGGGGGGCGGGAGGGCTTGGCTTGATGCTCCCGGGGGAGAGCTGTGTCCCTGAACTGGAGCATGAAGCTCCTAAGACGTGGCTGGGGATCTTCTGGTGGACCCAGGGCAGGGAGGGTGAGCAGCCCAGATGTTCCTGTGCTTGGCACCAAGCTGGTGTTATCAGTATCTGATGCAGTCTTGCCTGTGGGATTCCTTCCCACCTCATGTGCACCCAATCCTGTCTAGTCCCAGCTGCAGCTGCATCTCACTGGGCTGGGAATTGGGCTTGGTGGGGAGGGGGACCCATCTCCTGCCCAGTGGCTGTGCTCTGTGAGAGCTCTGTTCCCAGTGCTGGGGTCGGGCAGCTGCCTGTGCAGGCTCTGCCTGCTGCTTCCTCTGCCACCCTGATCCTGTCCTTCACCTCTTTAGCTTGCCCTCTAGCAGGGCTCAAGTCTCACGCTATCCCAGGGGTTGTGCCCCCAGTTGCGGTGTCTCTCTGCCTTCTTGCACTCTTGTTTCATGGGGCTTGGCCGCCCAGCTCGTGCCTGTTCCTGGAGGGGTTGGTCGCACTTCCAGCACTCCAGCCACCTGGCTTTCCTCTATTTATTGCTGACTGTGTAAAGAAATAAACTGATGGATTTTGCTAAAGACCATCTTGGCCTGCTCTTGCTCTGTCTCTGGGGTGCAGCGGGTTCCCCCCCTGGCTAGCTGGTGCAGACTGTGTTGCTGTGCAGCCACCCTTGTGCTTGTGCTGCAGAGGGTGGGTGCTTATCCCTGTTGTGTGCAAGAGTTAAAGCCCAGCTGGTTCAAGCAGAAGGGGTTGCTCTGGACCATAGGCCTGCCCTGGGTCAGGGAGGACCAGATCTGGCTGCAGGCAGCTGCAGTGGTGTGGCTGGGCACAAAAGATCCTCTTGTACCCCTATATGGGGCAGGTCCTGGGGGACCAAAGTGCTGCATCCCTCTGGGCTGTCTGACACCATGGCCAAGGCGTTTGGCTGCCAGGGTTATTTGGGGAAGGTGTCTGCAGGCAAACCTGCCTGTTCCAGGGCACAACACCCCATGTTTGCAAAGCTCCCCTTCTTTGAGCAGTGAGGCATGGGTAGCAGCAGTAATCCTTGTCCCCAGTGCTTGATGGCACTACTGGCTCAGCATCCTTGTCTTGTGGCTCTTGGCCTCTAGCACCATCTGTTATTTCTGTCCCAAGCTCTGTGGGGATGTTTCAGCACTTCTTCAACCTGTGGGTCTTTGCTGTGGGGAAGGGTGATGGTCAGCCTCCTGCCCTACCCGCCAGCTCCAGAGTTTCTTTCCCATCTTGACAGACTGAGAAGCTTCAGAGCCCTGTGATCGTCTCCTGCCTCTGGGCACACATCCTGCCAGGAGGCCTGCGGAGGGAAACCACTTCTGCTTTGTTGGATGCTCCTGGACCTGACCCCAGAGGGAAGATTTTCCCTTGTCAGTCATTAAATGTGTGCGGTGGGTTCATCCAGGCAAGCCATGAGGAAAGGCACAGGAGCTGGGCATACTCCTCCCAGCCCTGGACATCACTAGATGCCAGCGCCTGGTGCTGCCCGTGGCTCAGACCTGTAACCGGGCCTGCTGTGAGCATCGCTCAAACCTGCTGGGTGACCAGAAGCAGATGAGCACTGGGTTTTGTCCCAGCCCTGTGTCCTTGCATGCACTGTGCTGGTGGGCTCTCGTGCCCATTGGGCTGGACACCTTTGGGCACCCGAAGGTGCTGAGGGGCTGCACCAGCAGTGTGATTTCCTCCACACTGATAGTGGGGCTTGTGCTGCCAAAGGGATGGAGGACCTGCAAGAGCCACTGTCCTTGGCTGACCGCGGCATCGTGCCAGTACCAGCACCAGGGCTGTCAGGGCAGAGCCGTGCAGAGGGTGCAGGGCTCCCGGCTTGGTGCCCTGGGGCGCCTCTGGGTCATGGAAGGGTGACATGGGGCCATCCTGCCACCTGTGGCCATTCAAATAGTTGTGCAGGGCTGTCACCTGGAGGAGCAGTGCCCAGCAGCAGCACTGACTGCTAGAGCTAACAGCACCATGGCAGCCTTGGCCCCTGGGTGCTGCAGGAGTCCTGGGTGGGGACAAGGGGCAAGTGCCCCCCCGGCTGCCCCGCATGACACCCATCTGGAGGACGGTGGGCAGCAGACCCCTGGGTGCCCACTGCCACCACAGCCTCAAGTGTTACCAGGGCCTGCAGGTGAGCAGGGACCCCTGCTTGTCCCCTGCATTACCCCTGCCCAGCCTCACCTGCACTCCTGGGACCACACGTATCTGTCTCTACATTGTGTCCAGCCCTGGCACCTGCCCATGTACCCCAGTGTCCCCATCCCTGGGGCCTCACAAGTACCCCAATCCCTTCAGCCTCCTCAGCTTCGGGAGTTCTCCACCCTGGGACATGACCCCACTCTCTGCTCTCCTCAGACCAGGGACCTTACAGCCACCCCAGGCCCACTGTGTCCCCATCCCAGTGCCCCAGCCTGTGCAGCCCCATGGCCAAGCCTCAGCAGCAGCCAGTTTTGTTCCCAGCCGAGAGATGCCTCTCCCCAGGGACTCTGGCACAGTGCTCATGGCCACTCTGCCCCACAGGGCCGGGCGCTGTGCCCCACCACAGTGCAAGTGCTGACAGCCACCAGCAGCCCCAGGAGTTTCCACCCTGCACTGGGGCCACCGGAGACCAGAGTGCACAGTGCATTTATTGCCAGGACAGGGCTCCTCAGCAGACACATGTACCCTGGCAGCCCTGGGGAAGGACTGTGCCACAGAGCCCCTGGGGCACTGCTGTGGCTCAGACACTCCAGATGCTCCATGCAGGTAATAAACCCGCTGCTCCCTGCCTGTGTCCAGCAGCTTCCTGCCCTGCCTGTGCAAAGATGAACAGGTTACACAGGGGCTACCCTATGCCCGAGGGTGGCATGGGGTGGCACAGGGGCTCCTGCCTCTTGCCCAGTGGGTGCTGAGTCCACTACAGCCCTCGCTTGCCCCCCACCTGCCCTGATGGGGAGAGGGATGCTGGGAACCCCCAGGAGCCCAGTGCACCTCTGCGTTGCCAATGTGCCTGTGTGTGTATTTGTGCATAGGCACACATCTGCTTGTGCCTATACATGTAGGTGTGTACCTATGTGCCTATGTCTGTGCATGTGCATGCATATTATTATGTATGTGCATGGGAATGTGTGTGTGCTTGTGTGTATGTATGTCTACACATGTATACGTATGTCTATTCATGTGTGTGTATACGTGGGTATGTATATGTGTGTACACATGTGAATGTACATATGTGTGCATGTGGATGTATTCCTGTCTCTGTATGTGTATATGTGTGGAGGCCTGTATGTGCCACGTGTGTATGTGCTGTGTACTCATGGAAGTGCACGAGTCAGTACACATGCACAGGTGTGTACACACGTGTGCGCATGGATGCACGTGTTTCCGCCGGTAGGTGTATGTGCAGGTGTACATGTCCATGCCGCTGTGTGCCTCTCCACACTGATGCACACATCCATGTCTCTGGCCATACTCCGCTCTGTCCCTCCCTGCACCCGCCCTGGCCCGCGTGTCCCTGGGTCCGCACACTCCCGGTGTCCGCCCGCCTCCCTCCGCTCCCACCGCCTGGCCGCCGGGGACCCCCGGAGCTGGGTCCTGACCGCTCCGTAGTGAGCGTCCGGCGGGCCCGGACCGCCGCCGCCGGCCTGAAGCGCTGAGCAGCGCGGACCGAGAGCGCGGACCGGCGCAGACGGGGAGGCCGCTCCTACGGTGCCGCGGTGCTCAAGGCAGTGCTGGGGCGGCAACGAGCAGGCGGTGCCAGGAGGCGGGGCGCTGCCAGGACCCGGAGCAGCGCGGGCCGGCCCCTCAGTGCCGCTGTCCGTCGCGGCCGGTGTTGCCGCCGAAGCCGGCGCCATGCGCAGCCGGAGCAATTCGGGCGTGCGGCTGGACGGGTACGCGCGCCTGGTGCAGCAGACCATCCTCCGGCACCAGGTGCGGGACCGTGTCCGGGCAGGGAGTTGGGGCAGGCGGACCCTGTCCCCCCGCGGGCCCCCGCCGGCTCACGGCCCTGAGGCGCTGCTGCCCGAGCCCGCTGGCCGCATCGGCCGTGGTTAACTGGGAAACGGGCCGCGGCCCCTCGGTGTTGCTCCCTCTGCAGGACGCGGTGACGGGCCTGCTCCCCGCCGGCGCCGACCACAGGGATGCCTGGGTGCGGGATAACGTCTACAGCATCCTGGCCGTCTGGGGGCTGGGCCTGGCCTACCGCAAGAATGCGGACCGCGACGAGGACAAGGCCAAGGCCTACGAGCTGGAGCAGGTAGAAGGGAGCCGGCGGGCGGGAGGGCTTGTGGCGGCCGCCCAGTCTGACTGGTGGTACCCGGACCCAGCTGTCACCTGCCGGCTGGTTGCTTTTGGCACAGCCAGGCTCTGGGACCAAAGGGCCATGGGAGGCTATGCAGTGAGGATGGGGACAGGGCTGGCCCTAGGCGCAGGGGAAGACACACAGTAGAAAAGGTCCTCAGAGCCTCTTATCAGAGCACAGTGGAGCCCAGCTAGAGGGTCCAGCTCTCTGGCTCTGGGGTGATCTCGGGGTGCAGTCCTTCTCCCAGAGGCTAGCAAGCTGCATCCTGCAGCCATGCTCTCTGTTCCCCTGTACCATAGCTTGGCTTTGCTGGCAGGCAAAGAAATCATGCTTCCCTGTGCTGTTGCCTAAGGCGAAGGGGCCCTGGAAATGTGAGCAGGGGCTCCAGTTACAGACTCCAGAGCTCCACAAAGGTCAGCAGCCAGCTGATCCTGAGTCAGGGCTTCTGCCGGCCACGTGGGGATTTACAAGGCTGCTTTCCTTGTTCCTGCAGAGCGTGGTGAAACTGATGCGGGGGCTGCTCCAGTGCATGATGAGACAGGTAGGGGGCTGGGGAGTGCCTCCAAGTGTCAAGTGGTCCCCTCAAAGCCCAGCTCTGCTACAAAGACTGTCAGTCCCAACTGTGCCATCTCTCCCCAGCCTTCACTGGTGAGCGGAGGGGAGGCTTCCTTCCAACAACTCTCGAAATAAAAGTCTGAGTTGGCATCTGTCCCTGGTGGGATGGAAGTCCCAGTGCTGTGGGCTGGTGGCCAGCAGAGCCTTTGCCACCTGCTCCCTTCTTTTGTGGCCTAGCTGGTGCTGGGACTCTGCAGCCGTTCTCCTTGGGAGCATTTGTGGCCCTTTTCACTGCACTCAGTGCAGCCATGTCTGCAGGCCTTCCATGGTTGCAACCCTGCACTAGGTTGGCACATGCCCATGGTGTGTGGAGGGGCTCAGTCTGGGGGCTGTAGGATTTCTGCTCTGCCAGGCGT